AGGTTTATATTGGTTTGTTTAAGTTTCAAGGGAAGGTTCATTTCCCCTTTCTCATTGAAATGTGTCCAAACTAATTTGAAATTGTCGGAATACTCAAATATGAAAGAAAATCCCCCTCAAATCAAATCAGTGTGTTTGGCTGAGAAGGGGGTTCTGTTGTCATTCGAAGAAGGAAACTTTTGGAGTAGTAAAGTCGGTGAACATGTTTTGACAGAATTTAGACTAAAGGTTATCCATTTAATGTCAATATTCCCGATGTATTTCACATCGTGTATACACAATTTGATTCATTTAAAAAATCAAATAGAGCTTGCAATATGGGCTTTAAGGTGTTATTTGCGTTAATAACTTAACAGAATAGTGTATGAACAAAAAGACAACCTGATAGAGTAGTAGAGTAGAGGAGCATCATAAGATCCAATGATCCATATAAGTTAATGATGATTATCTTGATTTCTTTCAGTAACTACTCCCTGAATGACATGGGGAAGCAGACTTTAACGAAGACATTATCAGGTGGGCTGTATCTATACAGACCACCTTATAATTTTGTTAAAATTGCCTTTATTATTATTTATTTATTTTATTTCTAACCACTTTTTTGTTAACAAGATATCTTGAAAATGGTTTAATCAAATGCTTTGATATTTGGCACACATATGTATAGGCATATGGACAAAACACAGTAAGGTTTTCAACCTTGACCTTGACTGATGACGTCATCTAGGCGCCATTTTGTGAAATTTTCTGAAAATAAACTCATGATCATATCTTCATAACCAAAAGGTATTTCTCATTCATATTTATTATGATCAAGGTCAATATCAGTCCAGTCAATTTCAGGTCAAAAAACGCGCGCGTGCGCGTACGTCCGCGCGTCAATGCGCGCGCAAAATTTTTAAATGCTTAAAATCGTCTCAAATTTATTTTGCATACGTTTTAGGTCATTTTAAGCATTTTATAAAAAATCGCGCGTACGAGCATGCGCGCGCGTTTTCGCGCGTAACACCATTAAAAAACATAGAATCGCCATTTTTTTTTCTTTCATGATATTTCTCATATTTTTTCAAGGAATTTGATTCCATGTTTATCTCTTTATGACCATTATTAACAAGATGAGCGTAAATTCAAGATAAATGTCAGTGCGCGCGAGGTCTTTTAATACATAGCATATATGGGCAAAAACATGCCTATACAAAATCCGTTATAGCTCTTTGGAATGCACCAGGATCCTCAATTTTTTTTCATATTAAGATAGAGTATGAGTCGGAAATATGATTCCATGTCTCATTTGGCCATTAAGTGTATCGTGACATCATCACAATGGCCTTGGAACTCAAAATACGAATTTGCATATTATGACGTCAGCATATTTATGTAAAATTGATTGTATCTCTGTAAATATTGATCAATTTTCTTCAAAATTTCGATATGTTGTAGCTAAGACAATTCTCTACAAGCGCAGTAATAACCATTTTTCATTTTGATGACGTCATCATAGTGAAAATTTTGATTAAAGGCCTCATGTCAAAAACTTCATAATTTGCGTGTTATGCCTATAGAAGGTGAATTTAGTTCACGTTATGAATCTACATGATATTGTCTTTTAAGAATTTGTAAGCAGTATGTCGCTTATTTTTGCCCTATTTTGTCTCAAATGTTAGTTGACCAGCCCACCTATACTTGTTCCAAACAAGTATTATATGTCTAGTTTTAATTTGTATTTATTATTATTATTATATTTTTGGGGTAGGGGAGGGGCTGTGCAATTATCGAATATATTTAAAATATAAAGCAAATATCTAGCGATTTTGTTATAATTTGTTTCAAAATAAATTAAAATTTCTTTTTTTGTATACTAACCTATACCAAATTTGCAACATAATTGGCTTAGCAGTACAAAATTAGATATTTTTTAGAGTATGCCAGAGCCTAAATGAATGTCATGAACATTGATTAATAACTACACATATCTGCAATCGAATGTGATCATTTGAAGTGCCACCGACTGAAGTATGGAAATACGGACCCGTGTGTTTTTCACCATAATACATAGGCCTATATAATAATGCTGCCCCCAAAAAAAAGTTTCTGTAAAATTCAGGTTTCCGCAATGTATTAAACATCAGCTTAACGATTAAAAGATATTTTAGGTTTAAGTATTCAATACCATAGCTAAATGATATTAATGTAATTTGGTATTTACGATTTAGGACTGTCACTTATTTAATGAATTACATTATAATAGATAGTATACATATCTGTAATCTTGTAAAGGATGGTGGACCTAGATATTCTGTAAAAAAAATGTAATAAACAGATCCCAAAATATTGTTAACATTTTTCACTTCTGTTATATGTCTGTTTTAGATTTCTCGTACATTATTTTAGCCAGGAATGTTTTATCATAGCGGAACGGAGAAATACCCAAATTTGGACATGTTTACACTTCAAGTTCCCAAACAGTTTTTCCATTGTAATTTTACTCTTTTGAATCTTATCGACAAACATGTCGTTGAAATTTTAAGCACCCATGCTCCAAAGATTAGAATCAGCGATCATAATTTCTTTTATTTAAAACCTACCAGCAGGCGCGCCAGAAGCAGTTTGGGATGGGGGGGGGGGGGGGCAAACATTCCAGGGGGCTCACTTTCCAGGGGCAGTGACGTAATGAGCAAAAACGTTTGGAAGGGGTCCAGGGGGCAGAGCCCCCGGAAGCTCAGGGGTTTTAGGTATTTAATTACGGTCAGATGAACATCCAGGGGCCCGCCTTAGGGCCCTTGTTGGGGTCCAGGGAGCATAGCCCCCGGAAGTTTGGGGGTTTTAAGTATTTAATTACGGTCAGATGAGCATCCAGGGGCCACCTTAGGGCCCTTGGTGGGGTCCAGGGAGCAGAGCCCCCGGAAGCTCGGGATTTTTAAGTATTTAATTACGGTCAGATGAGCATCCAGGGGGCCGCCTTAGGGCCCTTGATGGGGTCCAGGGGGCAGAGCCCCCGGAAGCGCTGGGGTTTTAGGCATTTAATTACGGTCAGATGAACATCCAGGGGCCCGCCTTAGGGCCCTTGTTGGGGTCCAGGGAGCATAGCCCCCGGAAATTTGGGGTTTTTTAGTATTTAATTACGGTCAGATGAGCATCCAGGGGCCACCTTAGGGCCCTTGGTGGGGTCCAGGGAGCAGAGCCCCCGGAAGCTCGGGATTTTTAAGTATTTAATTACGGTCAGATGAGCATCCAGGGGCCGCCTTAGGGCCCTTGATGGGGTCCAGGGGGGCAGAGCCCCCGGAAGCGCTGGGGTTTTAGGCATTTAATTACGGTCAGATGAACATCCAGGGGCCCGCCTTAGGGCCCTTGTTAGGGTCCAGGGAGCATAGCCCCTGGAAGTTTGGGGGTTTTAAGTATTTAATTACGGTCAGATGAGCATCCAGGGGCCGCCTTAGGGCCCTTGGTGGGGTCCAGGGGGCAGAGCCCCCGGAAGCTCAGGGGTTTTAGGTATTTAATTACGGTCAGATGAACATCCAGGGGCCCGCCTTAGGGCCCTTGGTGGGGTCCAGGGAGCAGAGCCCCTGGAAGCTCGGGGGTTTTAAGTATTTAATTACGGTCAGATGAGCATCCAGGGGCCGCCTTAGGGCCCTTGATGGGGTCTAGGGAGCAGAGCCCCCGGAAGCTCTGGGGTTTGAGCCATTTAATTACGGTCAGATGAGCATATTTTGATACCTCATTTGTGACATTGGCAGGTCACTTATTTGATTTCTCTCTCTTTCTTTCTTTTTTTCTGTAACGTACTTTTTCAAAAAGTGAGGGGGGCTCGAGCCCCCGAGCCCAGCCGTTCTGCAGACCATGACACAAAGGCCCTTAAATAAGCATATCTTTCGCCCCACTTTAAAGTTGGGAATTTCTAATTTTCCAAAAAACGCATAAAAAGCTATGACTTACAAAAAATAGAGAAAAAATACCGGAAAATCATGTCATTTCAGCAACATTTGTAAATCACTGGTATCGAATAAGAAATACCCCCCCCCCATCAGTACGCCAGCGTTCAGGAGCTCATGTCTTCTCACCCCTATAACAAAAAACAGACACGCTTTCCCCGGGGCTTTCCCATTCTCTCACAATATGTCCACGATATGCGCGTATCGCTATTATAAAAACCGCCATTGTATATTGATAAATATCGGTGGCATGCGCAATGTTTTTCCTGTTAACTTTCCTTTTCTTTGAATATAATTTCATATGTGATTTAATTCAGGTTTTTATTATTGTTCTTTTGGGTTAAAAATACAAACCATCTTTACTCCTTAACTGCTTCTTTTTTTTTTTGGAGGGGGGGGGGGGCGCGTTTTAGGGCGGCAAAAATGCGTTTTTCTATAGGTTCCTGCACTTTTCGCAGTTTGTGTTTTTTTTGTCTGGGTTTCCTTAATATGATAATAGTTGTCAAACAAATTTGATGATATGTATCTTTGTAATCTGATTTATTTGTCAATTACTGTAATCATTTTTTGAATTATGAAACTATATGTCTTTTATGCATATTTTGTTATCTGTATTGTATCTGCATGTGAAATGTGAAACCAATAAACTCAAACTCAAACAGTGATATAAATTGACCACCATAATTATATGTTTTTCTTGGTGAAGCAATGTGTGTTTAAAAGCACCTCGTCGGCGCTGTGAGAGTAAACAACGTCTCTGAAACACGAAATTTGTCAGGAATACGTATGTTTTGACAACCTGAAAGCTTGCCCGAGCCCCCCCCCCCCCTCCCCCGAAATAGCAACACTTAATTTAATCAGACTTGATTTTAATTATTGTAGTTCAATAACTCGCCACTAAGGCCCCAGGAAAGAAACATCTATAACATTTTAATATGTAAGTGAACCGGTCAATTTTTAGGACTTATGCCTAAGGCAAACCTTGAGCCGCCATATGGTGGACCCCATATTTGTGATTATTTCTCATATACGTATTTCTATTTATATGTTGACATTTCTCCTCAGCCTGGAAACCATTCACGATGGCAAAGAGGCTGAAAATGACCGAAGATATGACTGAGCCCCCGAGTGACGACATTCATGTACCAAGTACAAGGTACATATTATATTAACCATAAGTCCACTGTGATACATGTATAATTGTTAAACTTGCATTGGTCACAGAATGCCAATAACTGAGTAAGACCATTTATCACTTTTGAGGGTAGCATAGGTTATTATTCTTTAAAATGTTATCCGAATGAACTATTAGTACTATATATAAACGATGGTCGATACCTGTTGTGAAACGAGGAGGTGCGTTAGTGGAAATGAAAATATGACGCTATTCGCTATTCATCTCAGACGGAAAGAAATGATAAACAAACCTCTAAGATACAACGAATCTGTTTATCAGTACACCAAAAACAGGATTATATAGGCCCTACAGTTGACCATTATAAATGGTAAAATGCTTTACGACAGCCCCCTTTCAAATCAATCAAAGCATTACTATGTAAACATGCAAAAATGATGCAAGTACATACTTGACTCCGCACCACAAAACAACCAAACAGTCCTATATAGTGTGGTTATCAGTTAGTGCCTAATTTAACTTTTAGAATTTCCTAAAAGAATATTATTTTTTACTCTATTCTGGACTGTTCGCTTGATGTCGCCCCGAAGCTGGTCGTTGTGATTAATGTCGGGGGATCTTGATGGCTACCCCATGCGCTCGAGCCCGTTATCTTCCAAGTATTGGTTGGTGATTTTGGAAACAAACAAAATTTTAACTCTGTAAAAAAATGACATACCGGTGACATAAAATATCAAGCAGGAAGGAATTGAAAATTTACCAGGACGTTTCGTTACATTATTCTTTAGTGATTTGTAATTCATGATATCCAATGAATAGAAGTCTTGATCAGCTGTGTAGTATAACTTTAATTATGAAGTTGATCTAATTCTATGTTTCTTATATTATAGTAGTCAAACAAATGGATTTGATGACGTCATCATCAAAGTAGCAGACGCCATATCAGCAGATTGTGATTTAAGGAGACTTGGTCTTGAGCTGGGAGTCCAGACTTCTGATATTAACAGGGCATTGGAGACGAATTGGGCTGGAGGTAGAAAGACCAGTAATGGTAATGTAATGCTGCTTCAGAACTGGGCAGAGACGGTCAAACCATCCAAGCAACTTCCCATTCTTAGAGCTGCTGTCCAGGCGGCGGGCTTGAAAGAAATAGAGGAGACGTGTCTGCAAAGAAAAGGTGACTTCAATTTTGTTAAAGAAACTTTTTAGACCCGCATTGATACGGTTGGAATATTTGGTAAAGTTGGAACCAAAATTTACCTCATTGTTTGGCGAACCAAAATTGGGCATGTTTCGCTCCGGGTAACAATATTTTGAATAATTTTCTGTAAAAAGTAATCATTATTGGAAAAAATTTGCGCATATCTATTAAGTTGACGTTCAAACTGTCTGAGGAGTGTTAGATACTATCTACATTGGAAATACGACATGTGCTCCACTGATAATTGCTCCGTGAGCAATAGCCGGATGGCGATTCTTGAAATCTTCGCCCAGGTTATATGATTTGTATCATATTGCGTGCATGAAATTTTACAAAATCTTTTATGAACTTTGAATAATTAATACTTTTTTTTAAATATTGTATATTAATAATTATTGATTTTGATATAAATAGTTTATCAAAATTCCCATTTGTCATGATTTGACGGAAAAAATTACTCTATATTAGTGCATCCACACAAAAACATATTACTATCAATCTAGCTTGGATGCTGGTGTGAAGAAATAAGATTCTTAGGGGGGAAATAGGAAATTTACATTATCGATATAAAGAAAACAATTAGTGGATAGTGAGGCAATGACGTCACAGACTCATGAGTGAGTTGTCAATTTGTCTGGTGATTTCCAAAGTTTGGAGAAAAAAAATGCATAACTTTTGTATTGATTATCCGATTTTGCTCAAACTTTTTTTGATTGGGTGGTCTGATTTTTTTGCTTCTATTGAAAGTAACTTATTTTTGGAGTGGACTTGCACTTTAAGGGGTGATGAAATATTTTCATGATACTCCTCCTGCTTATTCATTATCATTAGTTTTTCCGTGGGTGACTTCAATCTTTGGTTCTTTTTCAAATCATACATGGTTGCATTTTAAAGAGTTTATGACTAATATTATGTCTAATGATACCTTTTCACAAGTCTGCTGTCACGAATAACTGAGCAGCAGTTTTATCAAAATTAATTTTTTTTTTACGATGACACACACTAGGCTTCTCTCCCATCCCGTGTTTAAGGCAAGCCTTATCATTGGGTCTTGGACAAAGCTTACTCAAGGGATTGTTTTTCATGAAAGTTTGCTGTAATTATCTTTGGTATTTATGAACATGTGTGTTTTCTTCTCTTTACTAAATCTCTGAGATTAGTGAACCTCTGAGTTTTCATGCTCCGTTCAATAAAAAGATCAATATGCTTTTTACTCATCTTAGGCATTTGAAAGGATGCAATAGAAAAGTGAGAAGAAAGATCTTAGATATCATGAAACAAGGAAATACGGTAGGCTTTAAAAAAAAATTAAGGTTATCCAGTAGATTGAAACAAGGTTCTAGGAAAGCTTAGATACAGTGGATCACTTTAATCAGTGAAGCACCGGACGCATGAAGACGCATTCAGCAGAAATAAACTTTTCAAAGGATTTATAAGACCAAAGTAACACTTGAATATTGCCTGACCCACATGCGGTGCATCAGCCCAAACTTGAAAAACGGAGATTTTGACGGCATGTTTGTTTACCCTTGATGCTCATTCACCCGGGCAGACAAAATATGAATAGGGCATCATTAGACATAAAAGAAGCTACTCTGTACCGTGAATTGTAGATCAAGTTCGCATTTGTTATGACGTTTAAATCATAAGCTACCAAAGTTGGGTACACATTTTCTATGCATCCGCACACTGAAGATGGTACCGGAGGCACTATGTTTTTTATTTGTCCGTCTGTCCGTCCCGCTTTCTCATCTCAAGAAACACTTTAGATATGAACTTCAAACTTGGTGATAATATGTATTACCATATGAAAACGATCTGGTTAGCTTTTTGGTTAGTAGGTCAACAGGTACAGGTCCCAGAGGCAAATTCTAAATCCTACCATCCATTATCTTCATGATTTAGCCTGAAAATCATGACTATCAACTAGATCAAGATCTTATTTACTGTATCACTCGACCGATAGTCTATTCCAAACACACCTCCACAGCTTAATGCCCTCATCCCAAAATTTCTCTTAATTTCAAAGGAGGGGAAGGAGTAGGGTGAAAGTTCTGAACCACACCATACATTATGCACATGTTTCAGACTGCAAATCATGTATATCACTTGGAATCAGGTCATATTGAATGTATTATCCGACCGATAGCCTAATTTGGTTTCTGAGAGCACATTATATATTGATTGATCGGCCTCTTATTACCATATAAACGGATAATAAGAGAGATACATCTGCAAAATATGACGAAACTGCATCATCTGTCATCACTCTTTATATCAAAATAGTCACCCTCTTGATAATAGCATATACTCGCGATATATTTTATTGTTCATTTTACTTTGTTACCAGTGCTAATGAGAAGACAGCCTTAGAACCAAACCAGAAGTTCCAAGTTTCTTATTTTTGTGGGGGGGGGGGGGCTATAAATCGCTATGCAAATCATCCCCAAGCCAAATGATCGGATATCATCTTGTAGGAAAATCAATTCCTTTGAATATGTCACCCCATGCATAGTAAAATGCGGTTCTTAAGTAAAAAAGTAATCTCCAAAATCGCTCAGCATAAGTTATACGTGGCGGCCGTTTTTTTAAATAGCTGCCGTGTTATTTTAGCAGGATATTTTCAAGATATTCCACCCAGAAAGTGTCCCGGGAGGTACTCTTAAAACGCTAATATCCAACAAAACAACAACATTCCACCTTTCAAAAACCTGCTTTTCCCCTGCTTATAAAGCGCTCTGGAATTGTTTCTTCTCCATCTTCTCCATTTTTGTCCCGGGGGGGGGGGGGGGTACTCACATATTAATACATACGGGGGTGTGCCGCTCTAATGGGTCACTTTTCACAAAATTCCTAAACATGGGTCCCATCTTTATCCAAAAAAATCCTTAAACATTGGTCCATTTTTCAAGATTTCCAAAATGTTTGCATGGCAAACACCCGAAAATTGTGAGAAGGTGGGCTTTACTTCTAGAAAAATCCCCCCAAATGACCCCTAAAAATGGGTAGGAGTTTCGAGCCTTCAGCGGCACAACCCCGTCCAAACCAAATATGAGTAGCCCCCCCCCCGGGAGGTTTTGTAGGGAGGCGTGAACAAATTTGTCAAGATTTAGCCCCCCCCCCCCCTCCCGTACTGCACTGAGATCTGACCCATCATCCTCATACTCGTCTGCATCTTGTTCTGATCCTCTCTCCTCTTCAGGTGAACATGGTGAGATGCCTGACGAAGTACAACGATTAAGAGAGAAGTTACAGGCTAGATATATCGAAGAATTTAGCGAGGTCAAAGTATCTCCTATGGACCCTGAATCACGCACATGGCTGCAGCATATCTTCGTCAGTCTCATTTTAATGTTAGGGCGTAGAGGAGATCAGAAAAAAGAAATTCACTATGAGGATCTGTTCAGTTTCATTCGAAACAAGACTGAGAAAGGATTCATAACACGGTTAGCCTTTCTTGGAGAAGCTGGTGTAGGCAAATCGACATTATTTGCAAAAATAGCTCTCGATTGGGCGACGGGTAAATGTCTCCAAGATTTCACTCTTCTCTTTCACGAATCATTTCGAGACATACAAGATAGCCCCTCCTTTGGTGATATCGTTATGAATCATTTCCCAGATGACACAGCGATTAACGGGGAATCGATTGATAAATACATCAAGGAGAATCAAAGGAAAGTTCTGATCTTACTGGACGGACTGGACGAGGCTAAAATGGACATCACATGTCCAAACCGTAAACTTGCTATCGTCTCGATCGCAAGGAGGGAGAGATTCATTGACACATCCGTTCTCATTAGTTCACGTCCTTTTGGAGCTGATCAAATCAAAAGCATTCCGAGAATCCATGAAAAGTACTCCTATATACTTGTTGAGGGTTTTACGAAAGAAAACACAAATCAATACATCAAACAGTTTTTCAATAATGACAATGCTTCTGCATCCAGTCTCATTCACTTCATGAACATTAACAGTGTAGTTTCTGAGTTTATGGCACCATTCCCAATCTTTTGCTGTATGCTGTGTTACATGTGGAAAGTAGAATCTAAGCGCGAAACAACTGAGAAGCTACAAACAATCTCCCAACTAATGAAAGAGATCGAGTTCGCTCTTAGCGAGCAATATTCATCAAGATACACTGATATTGAGGGAGGGTATCAACGTCATATGGAGAAGGCTGTTGAAGCCATTACAAAGGTCGGTCATGTGGCATTCGAGGGGTTGCTGAATAATAAGCTCATCTTCACCAAAGAGGAAATGGAAGCCTGCGATGAGGCTGATGATGATGATGCGGTGATGGCAGTAGCAGTAGCATGTCAGGTTGGGATTTTGAGTGGGAAAAAGAGGTTAGCCTCAAAGAAAATCAGACAAAAAGAGGGAAAGCAGTTCATTCAAGAGTTCTGTTTCCCTCACAAGCTACTGCAGGAACACACCGCAAGCCTATACCTTGCATCGCTGTATAACCACAATCCTTCGGAATTCAACAGAATCTTGACACACAAGCTGTTAAATGACTACAAGGAATTCAGATATGTCTTGTACTTCACTGCAGCTCATGGAGGTGAAGTAGGAAAGTCGGTCCTGGAAGCCCTATGCAATGAAGTTGATGACATGGAGTTCATCATTCAGTGTGCATTTGAATGTCATGATTCAGAAGCCATTGGTCCCGTCAGGAACCTGTTGAAGACGAAGAGAGATCTTACGTTACCTAGTAGTCTTTCATTCGCCGCATTTCTCGTCACACTGGAACCAATAGGAAAGGAAGTAGTAAGTTTCGTGAATAGAATAATAGACGTATCTCATTTGCATTCATCTAATTCACGAGTGGCCAACCCGCGGCCCGCGAGCTCTCCTGGTGCGGCCCACGAAGCATTGAAAAAGTAATTATTAACATAGTTCGTTACAAAAATGCGGGCCGTATAGCAACGATGAAATAGGGTAAAATGTTTACACACAGCTATCTCTGTTTCCTTAATTTGTTTTCATCATTCACATCATATTGACTCGTCACGTGGTTGATACAAAACCCCTCAAATTCCCTCTCATTACATTACATTAACGACATTCACTCGCCGTGTTAATTTCAGTTTGTAATTTCCGCATGCAGTAACGTTTGTAAATATACAAATGTTGTGAATCGAGAAATATGTTTGAAATGCCATACTTGTCTTGAAACTTACAACCCTTTTCTCCCGCCGTTGAATTTTCTCATGAATCTTAAAGGTAATACAAAGTGTTGGTATGGGGTCATGAATTTGGTTCAAATGAACATATTGGAAGCATATGCGATCCTAAATAATTCAGTGATCGTTGTCGCCGTTGAAATCGAGTCTAAAGTTATGAAATTGTAAATAATACACTCTTTGTGTTGTATAGCTCCCTCTCGGTCAAGATATTAATTAAGCTATAAAACAATGTTTCTTGACTAAAAGCGACCGATTAGCTATTCCCGTTTGGAAATTATATATCACAACTACATATTCTGAGATTTTCATGGTCGCGGCTACCATTGTACGGCCGTAGGCGCTATTTGAAATTTATCACTATCCACCAAATTCTCAAAATTTCCCAAAACTTTGTATTACCTTTAATCGTAAACTGGATAGTCCCCTCCCCTAAACACCGCATACAATGAGACAGTTAGGATATTCGTTACGCTGTGTCCTTGATTTTGTTTGAAATAACAACCAAAATGGCATCGGAGTGTTTTGATGAAGGCAGAAACTTTAAATCAGATCGGTCTCTGAAGTATTTCTTCATGGAAAACAAAGGTAAACTACTTTGGCTCATTTGTCACCACGAGATCACACTACAAAAGTAAGCCTGATTTTTTTCCCACTGATTTTGTTGTTTGCAAAATTGCAGGTGTGTACACGTATTGCATGCGTGTGTGTGGGGGGGGGGGGGGATAAGACCCCGGGGGGGGGGGGGGGGGGTACTCACATATGAGGACATACAGGGGTGTACCGCTCTAATGGGTCACTTTTCCACAAAAAATCTATAAACATGAGTCCCACTTTTAACAAAAATATCATTAAAAATGGGTCCCTTTTTCAAAAAATTTTGTTGGGTGTTTGCCATGTAAACATCCCTAAAAATACCCGAAAATTGTGGAAAATGGGTCTTTTTTCGAGAAAAGTGACACAAAATGACCCCTAAGAATGGATGGGGGTTTCGGGGCTTGAGCGGCACACCCCTTCCATTCCAGATCTGAGTACCCCCCCCCCCCCAAGGGGGGGGGGGGGGGAGAGAAGGCTACCTACGGCCCGCCAAGTTAAGCCGATCGTTAACTGTGGCCCGCGAGCTTTTAAAGGTTGGCCACCCGTGATCTAATTGGAGAATAGCGTTGAAAAGAGCCATACTAAAGCCTTTCGACTTGCAGTCATCGGAGTAAAACGCAAGAATGAAACAGAAAGCCGAAATCGACCAATATAAACTGAAACTAAACACTGTTTCATTCTTGCGTTTTACTGTGATGAGTGCAAGTCGAAAAGCTTTAGTATGGCTCTTTTCAACGCTATTCTCCGATTTTGTAGTACCAATAATCTTTTCAATTCATCTAATTGTAAATGTTATTATATTGCGGGAATACTATCATCTGTTGAGCTGTCAGTAATTACATATGCAAATTTGGCTACAAACAAAAGGATAACAACGCATTTAATATACCGTTTGTTATTTTTGTTCCAGCCTTCTGACTCATTACCATTTAGAACTGCCATGTTGTCATTATATACGTACTATAGTGGGCAGGCGCGTACGCTGGGGGGGGGGGGGGGGGGGTTAAACCCCCCTTCAGTTTTTTGTATGTGTGTATTTTGGAGCAAACCCCCCCCCCCCCTTTGTAATTTAAAAAAAAACTATTTTTAATAAAAAAAAAAAAAATAAAAAAAATAAAATTATGCCAATGGCTGACCTAAAAAAGGTGACCTCACCCTCACCCTCCCCCCCAACGGAGCAAAATGTCAAATTTTCAAATTTCGAGACCCTAACAACAAAAAAAGTGTCCACTCCCCCCCCCCCCCCCCCCCCCGCTTATTCAGCGGCTGGCTGAGTCGTTGCGAAATTTTCGGCCCGATTTAAAAATGTTTAACCCCCCTCCCCCCCCCCCCTTGAAAAAATCCTGCGTACGCCATTGATAGTGGGCTGTATTCCAATGCGTGATCAGACTCACATGAGAACGATCATCTTGTCACCGTTTGCCTCTTCCTCATATATAAATTCAAAGGACTTAATAAGAAAGGAAGAGAAACATGTACGGCTCTTTCAGGATTGAACAAAGAGAAAAAAGCTAGGCAAACGAATAGGTCATTCTATATTCAATAATCCCTCCGTAACTATCTCAATAGCCACCCACTTTTCAGGTATACATATTTCACATAAGTAATAAAGACGAGAAGTCTAAATTTGAATTGTCCTGTTCATATCTTCTTCCATAATTCTTGAAGATAAAAATGTGCGTTTGTATCCATTGTTTTTACATTATACAAGATGTCAGAATCTGGCGCAATGGTGAAGACATCAAGAAAATAACTTGGTGTTTTTTTTTTGCTTTTACAAACAAATGCATGCTATAAGATTTTTTAGCACAAATTAAACCATTGGTATGTAAGATTATAATTTTTGAAAGTATTATTTATAGAGTGAGTGCTAAAATTCCTTTGTTGTACAGGTTAGAAGAAGTTCCTCGATTCGTGAAACATTGGGTGTTAGCGAGTCCTTCGAAGCTAACGCATCATCGCCTGATGTAGCAGCAGCAGTAGGACTCTTCACATTGCAGAACTTACGAGAGTTGACCATTGAAAACGAGCGTCTGGATGACGAATTCTTCACAGGAATGTCTGCTGCAGCTCCACATTCCATGGTTTCTAATTATTATATTAATTTTGATGAATCCTATATCTGAATTATCGTTATTTCTTAATGGATGCATGCTACCGTATATGTTGCTTAATACAGTAAAGAGAAGTAAACTACATTCACGAACAAAATTTGGTTATTTGCACTTATCTTTTCGGTCATTTCTTTTCACAAAGGTGAGAAGTCTAAACGCCAGGAAAGGCATATAAAATGGGTCTTGCTCTCCTCTTCCTTCAGCTTCACCCACCTTCTTTTCATTTTTATCTTTACATAAGTTATGTATCATCGATATGTAGCTTCTGTCATTTTCTCTCTGTCTCTATGTGGCGGCGCTTGGGACATGAAGGAAAATCTGACCCCCATTTAAAATACATTGTATCTGCCACCCTCCAATATAGGAAGAAATCATTTTCACTTCATCTTTTTCTTCTTGTTGTTCTTCTTCATCTGATTTGTTTATTCTGGTTAATATTTATTGACTCTTTTTCCATAGGTATAACAGATTACATGTATATTTGCACTTCACACACTGTAAGACGCAGGACATTTTCTCACTCGGGATGGGGAGAAAATTAATGTTCCCTTGACGCTTTTCCTTGCCGCCAGTGCGCCCATACACTTTTACAATTCTCCTGCCGCGAGTTGATACACACACATGAAAAATCAGTGGCGTTATGAGCCAAACATTTTGAGGGAGCCGAGCCAGAAATGGCTCCGGTGTCAATCCGTTTGATGGCGGGGAGGGGGAAGGGGGAGGGAGGGGGGGGGGACATCCGCCCTTTCCTGAAATAAGAAGTTAATGCAGATATTCCATTCCATAAACATTTCACAGTATAGCAACTCCGTGTGTTAATTACATATTATATTTTCAAAATGCTTTAAAAATGTCACGCTTTGCTACAGATAATTAGGTCTGGACTCAATATGCACCTTTTTTTTCCTTTCTATCTATATTGGAGAGGTAGCGTTAAATATTTACTTTAGGTGACCTTCCGCTTTCGGGAAGGAGTCTCAGTCCTCTCGGTCCTTTCTAATTATGTTATAACGACGGCTTACATTTCTTTCTTTTGTGTGTTAAAGTCAAATTATTATGCGAGAAAGCATATCAATGGTGAAACTATGCATTCTAGACGACTTCAGAATCTAAATATTGTGTCACGTTGCTTTGTAGAACTTCAAAAGATTATTCATACCAAAAAACAAACAAAAAACATATGGGCAGGGAGACCACTTTACAAAACTTCCTGTAGATATGCCCCGTAGTCTATCCGGAATCTTTACGCCCTTAAAGGTAAAGACCAGTATTGGCAACACACCAATTTCAAAAAATGAAATGGAAGCTCTCATTACCAATCATGTGAAAGAATATGTTTTGACTAATACATGATGATAACAAATTTGCCGGGAAACCGCCTACTAATTCATATATTTGGTAAATTTATTTCTCTCATGGTCTGGTGAGAGAGATAGGGTAGTCCCATATACATCTTTCTGTGTATAGTGCTTGTAACTTTACGAAGAATGGGCCAAATTTCTTATCATTTTGATGATTCCAGAACCTTGCAGATGCTAGATGCTAGATGATCGACCTTTTCTGATCGATTCCACAACGTTTCTTTCACAATGCAATCGCATGACCATTACTGGTCTTTACCTTTAAGTCATAAATGACAGTAATGAGGATTAATGCCCCACAAAAGGACACTAATATGGCACATCGACACGGTTTTGATCCTGGGGCCTCACAGTTACGAGGCCATTGCTTTGCCACTTAACCATCACTGTACGCAGCGGGGGCTAGGGTAGGCGGCAGTTCCCACAAATAAAAAAGAAAACAGAAAATGCAATAAATTTTTAATAATTCATTAAATTTTACCCCGGTCCCCAACATAAAAAAGTCCTCTGAACGACCATGCATTATGGCTCAAGGCATGGGCACACAGAATATTTTTTTAATGACTTACATTTTGTAAGGGCGTAGGTCCCCTAGTTAATAAGCATATTAGCATACACATGCTTTAGCAGTCACGCAAAACAAACACTGGCAAATTATTATTCAATAAAATCTCAGAATGTATACTATTATCTAGATCTATTAGGAATAAATCATTGTCCCCTCGTTGATTAGCATAGTAGCACACTCATGCTCTAGCAGTCACGCAAAACAAACACTCGCAAATTATTATTCAATAAAATCTGAGAATGTATACTTTTATCTAGATCTATTAGGAATAAATCATTGTCAAAATCATTCCATAAATTGGGGTAAAAATAATTATTCCATCATTATGACCAACAGTGTACTATTCACTCTATTCAACCTTTCCTGTCACATCACCAGATTGAGAAGCTAACGCACTGGAACGCAGATCTGGGTTCTGCTGCACCCTCTCATTACGCGAGAGGTCTCTGCTCCATGCCAAATCTTCGATCACTGGATCTGAACAGTTTGGAGCTGAGTGATGAGTTCTACTCGACGATGGCCTCTGAGGCATCAATATCAAAGGTATACCTAACATGATTTCTATTCAAAACGATTTTTGTGTTTTTCAAAAAATTGTGCATTGTTAAAATTCCACATATGAGATAAATGTTTGTTCATATTAAAAAAAATAAAAAAAATAAAAACATTTTCATGAGCTACTAGGACTCTCATATCAATAATATAAATAGTTTGGCTATGCTGACGAGGAAAAAAGACCTGTAAATAGAATGAACTTTGGTGTCATAATGATTTAAAAGCATATCAAAATGTATTTTAAAAGCACGTATTCTACAAATAGTATTTCGCATTTTATATTGATTTTTTTTATAATTTTGTCAATAGTCGCATGAAATTAATTCTACATGTGCATGGTAAAGAGACGGATATAAAGACCTTTATTTTGCTTCAACAGACACTGTCTCTCTTTTCCAACCATTTATAATTGATGACAATTGTTTTTCTTTCTTCAACTCGTCTTTCTTTGCTCTTACGACACCCATTTCTTTCGAGTTTTTTCTCTCTATATCTATTTGTCTATCTCCAGGTCACTTACTCTCTCTCTCTTTCTCTCTTCATCTCCCTTCTCTTGTCCTTACTCTAAAATTCTAAAAAGAGGTTGATAATGTTACATTAAGGACAGTAAGAATATTTTATTTAGACCTGTCGTCTATACTTGATAATACTATTCACTCCATGCAACCTGTCCTGTCACATCACCAGATTGAGGAGCTAACGCACTGGGGCGCAGATCTGGGTTCTCATGCATCCTCTTATTACGCGATAGGTCTCTGCTCCATGCCAAATCTTCGATCACTGGATCTGCGCCTTGTGGAGATGAGTGATGAGTTCTACTCGACGATGGCCTCTGAGGCATCAAAAGCAAAGGTATACCAAACATGATCTCTATTCAAGGATTTTTGTCCAAATAATTGTTTGCAATTTCAAATTCCACATAATGAGATAACTGTTTGTTCATATTTATAAAAAAAAGAATTACACATTTTTATGAGTTACGAGGACTCTCATATCAATATTATGAATAGTTTTGCTATGCTGACAATTAAAAAAAGACATGTCAATAGAATGAACTTTGGTGTCATAATGATATAAAAGCATATTAAAGCGTGTTTTAAAAGCACGTATTCTACAAATAGTATTTCGCATTCTATACATTGATTTTGTTTTGTTGTTGAATTTTGTCAATAGTCGCAGGAAATTAATTCTACATGTCAATGGTAAAGACACGAATATAACGCTTTTATTTCGCTTGAACAGACACAGTCTCTCTTTTCCAACTATTTATAATTGATGACAACTGTTTATCTTTCTTCATCTCGTCTTTTTTTACTCTAACCACACCCATTTCCCTCGGGTTATTTCTCTCTATATATTTTCTGTAGCTGTCTCTTTCCAGGTCACTCTCTCTCTCTCTCTCTCCCTTCTCTTTTCCTTGCTTTAAAAGTCTAAGTAGAGGTTCATGATGTTACATTAATGGCGGTAAGAATAAGTAAATTAGTCATGTCGTCTTTACTTGATAATACAATTCACTCTATTCAACATGTCCTGTCACATCACCAGATTGAGAAGCTAACGCACGGGAACGCAGATCTGGGTCCTGCTGCATCCTCACATTACGCGAGAGGTCTCTGCTCCATGCCAAATCTTCGATCACTGTATCTGGAGTGGATGAAGCTGAGTGACGAGTTCTACTCGACGATGGCCTCTGAGGCATCAAAATCAAATGTATACCCCAAAACGCTTACAATTCGAACCAATTTTTCGAAAGAGTTTTGCATCCTTCAAATTTAACATATGGGGGAACTGTATTTTCACACTTTTTAAAAAGAGATTTATAAACATTAGTCAAGAGCAATCTTATATCAATATAATAACAATTTGGTCATGCTGACATGGAAACAGATCATGTTTATAGAATGAAATTTGGTGTCAAAATGATAGAGATTCATACCAAAAAGGCGTGTTTAAATTTTACATGTTAAACAAGAAATTTACTTATAATTTGCCAATACTAGTAGCCATAGGAAATTCATTTTACATGTGCATTGTAACTAGACGGATATAATACTTTTATTTTGCTTCAACAGACACGGTCTCTTTTTTCCAACTATCTATAATTGATGGCATTTGTTTGCCTTTCTTCATCTCGTCTTTCTTTTCATTTACCACATCACTTGCTCTTTGGGCCTTTTTCTCTCTATCTATCTCTGTCTCTCAGTATGTCTCTGTCTATGACCGGGTCTCTCTCTCTCTCTTCCTGATGTTACATTACTTACAATAGAAAATATTAAAATTAGACATGTCGATGTTATTCACTCTATTCAACATGTCCTGTCACATCACCAGATTGAGGAGCTAAAGCACGAGAACGAAGATCTGGGTTCTGCTGCATCCTCACATTACGCGAGAGGTCTCTGCTCCATGCCAAATCTTCGGTCACTAAATCTGCTCCGTGTGAAGCTGAGTGATGAATTTTACTCGATGATGGCATCTGAAGCATCAACATCAAAGGTATTATCCAAATACGATTTCAATTGGAAACGATTTGTTTCCAAAAAAGTATTGCATTCTTCAAACTCAACACATAGGGTAACTAAATTTGTCACACCTTTTAAAAAGAAATCTTTTTTTTTCATTAGTTACAAGCGCGCTTATATTGATATTAACAGTAGATACACAATTCTTGTTATCGTGAATATTTGGAGTATAATGTTCTTTTCATTTACTACGCATTCATAGCCGATTTATTTGATAACTTATTTACTGATATTTACTGGTTTATCCGTAGTCCACATGACCAAGTTATCAGGTAACAACTATTGCTTAAGACTGTTCTCACAATTTTCGTGTAAAATATATCTGACATCAACAATTTGGCAAGCACAATGTCAACTCGCGTGCCTGTCCAGTGACGGATGTATCACATATCTGAAGCAATATGTATTCATGCGAGTGTCCTCTTGTATCTAGTGAATTTAGAAGAATTAATAAAATGGGTAATTATCCACTTTGAAGGAAACGGATGAGATAAGCCTACTGAAAACAAAGAGGAACAAGTATATTAAACATACTCTCTTGAAGATATCATTTTGATGTAATGTCATCCCACCGATACAATACCTTAAGTACCTCTATCGAAATACATCATACCAAGCACATTTGAAATGCTTTTTTGTTTATTATAGCATGTTGATTCATTTGAACTATAGCGGAAATGGAGACGAAATAATCAGACTTGGCGAATGATAAAGTTTCTAAGATAGTACAAATTCATCCGATATTAGCTGTGATTTTAGTAATGTTAGCATCGTGGATTTCACTTTGGTTTGAACTGATAAAATGTCTTTGCACAGATCCAGACGCTAAGTATGCGGGGTGTTTCCATAACTCCGTGTCGACTAAACTCCATTCTCTCACTACCACGCCTCCAGTCACTCAGCTTGGATGATATCAGACCAGTCGACATAGACAATGGAGAGACACTGGTATGTATGTAACTATTCCGAGTCAAAATCCTCCTTTTGTTCCAAGCTCAAAAGGGAGGGGTTCAGAAAAACTAGACAGACCAAATATGAATGATATTAGGTATTGCCGAAAGAATAATGTATTTTGTCTTGAAATCTAGTTAAAAACGCCATATACTACGGGCTCTATATTAAATCTATGGGTGGATAGTTTTATATATGAAACATTTATACAGGCACTGTTATAACTTTGTTAATTTGGGATGGAATTTATCCAAGCATTTTTTCTTAAAGCTCGTTAAATATCATTTAATGAATGATTGCCGTTTGCTATTTCCTATGGAGACTTTTGTTGCTTATGTTTTCATCATAAAAATGTGTAACTTTCAATAATGTAAAATCATTTGATTTTTTTTTAAATCTGGGTGAACGAATATCACAGTAAAAAGATAATGAGTACTACAGTCTCGTCATCTTCCACTGAACAAGGAGGATTAACCCTCGTTATTAAAGGTAAAGACCAGTTATGGTCATGCGATTGAATTGTGAAAAAAACTTTATGGAATCGATCAGAAAAGGTTGATCATCTAGCATCTAGCATCTGCAAGGTTCTGGAATCATCAAAATGATAAGAAATTTGGCCCATTCTTCGTAAAGTTACAAGCACTATACACAGAAAGATGTATATGGGACTACCCTATATCTCTCACAGGACCATGAGAGAAACAAATTTACCAAATATATGAATTAGTAGGCGGTTTCCCGGCAATTTTTTTATCATCATGTATTAGTCAAAACATATTCTTTCACACGATTGGTAATGAGAGCTTCCATTTCATTTTTTGAAATTGGGGCGTTACCAATACCGGTCTTTACCTTTAAGTTGGCTTTGGTCTTGTTGGTTGAAACGGATAAAATTAAGAAATATTTCAAGAAGGTTTCACAGAAAACCTGTATTAGCAATGCGGGCATGATGTGTTTTGTCGTACAGCCCCCCTGATCCTCTAATTTGTTTGTTTTGAAAATACCGCAAATACCTTTTTCAGAGTATTATGATAGACAAATACGTTTTGTAAAGGTAGGCCCAATGGGACATAGTCTCCTGGATCACTAAAATGAAAAACAGAGAGGTAATTTTAATATTTTTGAAAAATAAATCGGTTATTTTAGTTCATCCGGATCGGCATCGAATATGCCTGTAATGTCAATGGAAAATTCTCTAAATCATTATAATCTCGGTATCCAAAAGTTTAAAAATGTTGTATTCTTTGTCCCATTTTTCAAAAAACTACGCGTTTGTTTATTTCTTCTTATATACTTAAGTTTAAACTGACGAACACCCTTTAAGTCTTATTATTGTACATTTGTGGAATATTTACCAAGCATGATATGAACAGTAAAAGTACTATATTAAAACAATAATGAGTCAGTTTATGTAATATAATTTTTTCATTAGCGTTGGTTTCCATTCAAATCATATGTAGTGAGCCTTTATGCATCGCTGTTTCATGTAGACTCGTCAAATAACCTCTGAGTCAGTAGATGAGCTATCTGTGGATGGTAAGCATGTGACCAGTCTGTGGAACCGTGGACTTCATACATCATGTCCCCGAGTGAAAACTCTCAGGCTGGGCTGGTCGACCCAGGAGAATGTCTCATCAGACATCGTCACAATCGCCTGCTCTCTATTCAATCATCTAACTCACCTTCACATCCAGGGAGACCTGGTGTATCCAACATCTGTTACACTGGATGATCCCGTGTCATTCTGCGAGTCGGGGATAACATCATGTCCCCGACTCACCAAGCTGTCCATTAGCAACGTTGACCTGTTCAACAAGAAGGCAGCTGAGATCATCCAACTCATGAAGACTCATGTACACCTGACAAACATAGAGTAAGTAGCGGAAAGCAGTAAAAAATTCCGTAATATGAAACATTTGATATAATTGTCTTATTGGAAAATATGCATTTAAATACTTAAATCAAAGGTTTTTTTTCTTTTATAGAGATGTATTTTAGATAGTAGGCACAATGACAAGATTTTCAGAGACAACATTAAAGAAGTGAAAATACATATTGTCATCTCAATATCGTTGTAAACAACCAATTTGTATAAATCCAGTGTTTAATGCAATGTTTTCAAAGTCAATGAAAAAGATGAACAAGTTTTTGAGTCAATATTACGGTTGTTGTTTGCAAAATGTGTAATAAAGCTTTCATTTATTTATACCAATATTATTTTCTTAAGATAAATTTAAATTCAATACTTAATTTATTTTATTCATCATGATTTTCATAGACTTGCTGTATCCTACATACACAGTTATGATACCATGGTTTGCAGTCATGCAATATAAATGCAGAGCAACATTATGCAAGGTCCGATGTGTATTAAATTGTCATCTATTCTCACATCATATAGCATACATCTCTGATGGCTTTTAAGAGAGTATCGTACATGTACGTCAAGCTTGTTCATGTATTGTGCACTCAAAATGTACTTTTTTTTCTGTCTATAGGTTGGAAAGGTGTCGTACCAACACGGATTTGGATCCACTGATTTCTGAGGTAAACAGTGAAGGCAAGCTGACTGTCACCACGATACATGGCCGGGTAAGATATAACAACAGATTACATGCGCATCCTGTGGTTGATTCTTCTCTCTCTTTCTGGCATTCCATCGATTGAAAGTAGGCTATAGCGGTTTTATATTATCCATATTTAACTTCGCCCAATCTGAACCCAAGAATAAACAATACACACATTGATTTAAGCTGTCTTGAATGTGTTTATTCTGGCCTGAGTATGATGATCACGTCTATCAATATGTGTGTTCTTGATCTGTGTAATGATATCCGGAAACTGAAATATAACAAACATACAGAAAAAGACTTTTCACAACTATATGAACATTTTTAGTGAAAAAGTACTTTTCCTTCAAGTACATGATGTATAAGGCTTCTACTTCGTCCTCTTTAAAAAAAAGCGATATGACGTTAATTTCTGATGAAAGGAAGAAATATTTCCGTTATCTTATCTAGAGCTCTACTTAAAGGAATTTGTCAAAGGATCATGTAGCATGCATCTCAACCAAACAACTCTACTTTAGAACCGTGGCGAAAAGTAAAAAGATAAAACCTGCTTCTTACAACATTCACCCTGTAGCAATATCCATACGATGGAATATACGAGCGTATATTGGAAATATTGGAAATTCTTACGCATCACACTGCTTTTTTCAGAACATGTTTAAGGTGTATATGTTATTTTTGGCCAGCATTTTTGTTCAATCAAACTGCCTGTTTATTCTTAATTCTTGAATAAAAACAACAACAAATACAAATTCTTAAAGAAATGATGTCATTAAGATGGGTGATAGGTACGGAGTGTAGGCCTATACGTGTCTCCTCTTCCTATGCCTGCTACCTAAGTCATGATGGTGACATCATATATAAATTGCAAATCTACCCTGCCTGAAATGTAATGCTTGTAGTACCTTTTTGAACAAAATTATTCATCAATATCAAACTGCTTGCAAATAGTGGTTAAATTCAAATCTAATTTTGGTTTTACTAAACGATATCCTGGCATTTTACATAACTTTATCTGTTCTTCAAATGCAGACACGTAAATGAATCCATCGCCTTTTTGATTGGAATTTAAATGTTAACAAAAAAGCGGTTCTATATAAATGATTGTGAACTATTTACTCGTTAGATATCTGACCTACATGAATTTTTATCTCTGGAAAATCATTTTCAACTTATAATTTATTTAAAGAATTTCCCTATAATTGTAATGAATAATAGCTGTCAAAAGGTGATTATTTATACATGCACAACTTGGCTTGATATATATGTACTCCTCCTAATACTATCATGAATGTAACTTTTTCTCCCTGTCCGATCTTCTATGTCCCTTCTCTTTCTATGTTATTTAACAAAAAATCTTGCTTCCTTCCTAAAGAAAATTGTCATGCATCGCTTCATATTGTTATTTTTATTTTCGGGAGGACGTCATTAAATCTTATGCTTATAAGACGACCCCTTTTCAGTATATGCCATGTCATCATGAGGAGGCGCGATAGCTCAGTCGGTAGAGCAATGGTCTCGTTATCCGGTGACCCGGGTTCGAAACCAAGTCGATGTGCTAGTGGCCTTTGGTAAGGCATTAATCCTCATTACCAGGTCCCTCGGAGAGGACCTTAAGCCGTCGGTCTTCTGGTTGCTTACTAACAAACATTTATTGCTTTCTGAGCTGTCAGGTGAAATAACCACCACTATCAACATCATACATCTAAATTCATAAGATAGTAAATGTAAATATGTTGATGTATATGGAATGAAAGAACATCACATGAAATCAAAGCAAACCATCATTATATACATTTTATTTCTGGTATTCTTATATTTCAATAGTGGTATGAGTTCTGAAGATAACGCTCAAGTAGGCCTACAATGTGGTTTGGCCGTCAAGCAACAACGTATCAACGACTACTGCGGACTTCAAAATGAAACTTGTCGAGCATATGGCTCCGAATAGTCTCATTGGACAACGCCCCCTATCGTCAGAGTCCAGCAGCCTAACATGTTAGCCTATGGACTTTTACCCCCAAAAATCGTTAAAATTTCATTTTTTGCTTAAACGAAAAGCACATCCATCCCGACGTACGTTGACACTAGCTCTTTCATTGGAACCCTCACGTCCCATTGACTTTTGAAAGCTCACCCACCGTAATTTGGTCAAAATAGGTCGCTAGCTCGCCATTGCCTATATAACACATGTAAAATAAGTCGAACTTTGGACGCAATTTGCCACGCGATTGTAAGCATGAATTATCATAGATCAGTTCTGAATGGTTCATTGTGTCCATTTCAGCCAACCCCCACCGTAATTTTTCCATTTAGTATAGGCAAGCATTTTGCCGAGGTAAGCAAAAACATAAATATTCATGATTGCCATGGACTATTCGATTATTTACAGTGGGGTGCAATAATTGTGCACCACTTCAAACTCCCCTACTTTAAGTCAAGTATTTCATTGTATTATGTAGTTTGGTAGGTTTATTTTACTAACTGTTTAATTATCAGATATCAATGATAGTTTAAAGATATGGAAAAGGTTCTTGTATTTTATATTGAGCAAAGCAATCTCACATACAAAATCACTATCAAGTGTCGTCTGATCCGCCGATTGCCGTCTGCTATATACGTTCAAGGCACATTTATCTGTGGACTGTGATGTAAATCGACAGTTTACTCGTCATTGTAGATTTATGATTAGCCATCTGTCATTATTAGTCTTTAATTTCTGACACACATGCAATTACCACACACACGAACACTCCCACTTCTCCTCCCCAACACACCATTTCCGCACACCCAGTTCACCCAATGGCATACACCCTGAAACATAGTGGAACATTCTAGTTTGGTAGTGCCGTCAAACTAGCTACGTTTGTGCTGGCAATTATCCAGCGAGCGAAAATGAGACAACCGGAGCAATATGTGTGGCGGTAACCAGACCACCCGATAACTAATAATACTAATCGAAGGATATCTAAAGTTCAATTGCATGAAATATAGTATCATAAACATATTACTGATTATGCCCTGTCTCGATACTTTTGATTAATATCTTTATAATTTGTTGACGCATATGAAGAAGGTAGATTTATTTTCGGGCGAGTTTTTAATTCTATACAGCCTCCTCAAAAGTACTTTGACCTTGGCAAAGCATTTGTGATTTAATACTGCAAGCATATCATATTATATCCTAGTACAGAGAGAAAAAGATTGGATTAGAGTTGACGTAATTTAAATCAATCATTATTTATTTCTATATCTTGAACTACATGCCATGTTAAGCAAATACTTCAATGCAGTGTTGTTCATGGTTGTTAGCCTAAGAGTCTGTCGTGCTTCATGAACAATTTTGACGAAAAAACAAGGTTGTAAAGTATAATTATATTGTGCAGTTTATGTGTATGGTTAAAATGTGACAAGATATCAGTTTTTCTACTCAATGTTCTTTTACAATTCCACTCGAACCATATAACTATATAGGAACCATACATGTCGTGCTATTGTTTGTTATTATTGCTATCGCCTTTATTGTTTTAAGTATTTTGTCATTTACATCCAACTAATCATGCATGATCCTAACTGTGATATAATCTAGTCTAGTTCGTGACATGCATGCAACAGTTATTGATATAGTAAAATAGAGTAATAAGTCATCTTGATCGCGTTGTAATAATCTTATAGCAAATCGTGATCAGATCGTGTATATATACAATCCAGTCTATTTGTGACATGTATACAGTCGTCAATGTAATATGAAAGAAATTTATTCTTATCTTCACGGAAAATTTCTTTCGAGTTATATATTTCAAACATCCGATGCTCCTGTACAATGTTTTTACCATTGTACATGTTATCAACTTATACTCCATTATAAATTCTTTCAATTTATGTCTCTATTGTTATGTTCACTTTCATTAATAATAAGCCTGTGTTGTAATGATTTTGTCATTAGGAGGACAATTTGGTGTCCTCTTAACGTTTTTTACGTTTTATTTCTCATAGAAGGCCCAATTTTGTTATATATCTCTCTCTATATATTATATGTAATTTTACTAAAGGCGTCATTGGAGGGACATTTAGAGTGAAAAAATGAGTCATTAAGTAGACATTAGGGTTAGGGTTAGGGTTAGGTTTTAGGGTTAGGGTTAGGATTTTTATGATGTCCACTTAATGTACCATGTAGGATTATATATATATATTCCATGTATTTACCTAAGCAGTAATACTGTAATTTGCTTTAAATGACTGTTTTATCATGTGATAAGCCATTTATTTGGTTATGTCGTAGACCTAATAGATCCGTGGATATTTGGATTTTATCTGTTCGATGAAGTTGTGATGTTTCGTTTATACAAAGGTACCAAAAGTTGTTGTTAAGGTAAGTTGGTAAAAATATTTTTAGTGTGTGTGTGCAGCTAGCTGTTTTAGGATTTAATCGATCCCTTCGACTTTTACCAACACTGACTATATATAAGAGTTATGTATTGTTTAGTTTAAGTGGGTAAATAATTATAAATAAACGCAGTTTCAGAGAATTACAAACAGACAATAATATGTCTTTGTACATATGTATACAAGAGAAAGTTCGATCTATGACTGATTGAACTCATGGGATTTAAAATGTTCTTGTTGTTTAGAGATTGTAGAAGGGGAAATATCGCAAGAAATTAAAAACAATAATTATGAAAGCCATTTACATTTTGAATTATCGCCTCATAGCTTTATTCACGTAAACTGGAATAAGTCGGATAAGAGGTGGGCAACATAAAGAGAGGGTAAAACGCTTTTTACAGAAAACCAGAAATGATTGGATTGGAGAGTGTATAAAAGAGAGGAAAGGCGTGCTGTAAGTAGACGCTGAAAGATGGGCGTACTATAAGAGAGAGTGAGATAGAGAGAGGGAAAAAGAGATATAGAGGGGGAGGATAAAGAGAGAGAAAGCAAGGGATTAACGAGAGAGAGAGCGAGAGAATAAAAATATAATATAGGAATAAAATACAAACACGCATGCGAAAGCAAGAAAACTTGATCTCACACACATACGCAAAATAGCATCAATGAGCACTCCACATTTCACAGACCAACCACTCAGAAATGCATGATGCAGATTAAAACGATACACCGTTATAATCTTCAATATAAACCTGTCAATTATCTACATGAGTCCTGAAGAAGATCAAGAAGTATAGATAGAAAGCTTGACAAATACACAAAACAAAAGCTACATACGATCGCGTCATTAATTATTTTTACATGTATAATGCCTTCCAAGTATGGAAAAAACCACAGCCCTTTTCGCTCTGTCTCTCTGTCTCTCTCTCTCTCTCTCTTTCTGTATGATGTATGCATACCATCTTAACTTTTCATTGTTGTTTTGATGCCTCTGATTATCATGATAAACCCCTTTTAGACTGAGGAACAACAAATCTTAGGTCTGTGTCGAAAGGAGCGTGAACAGAAATTACTATGAGTAAAGGTTCTCTCTACTAATCTTTTCTTCACACAAATAAAACATGAAAAGTTGTTTCAATCACATAAGAACAAACATAGGCAAAAATGGTAAATGTTTCTTGATTCAAACCAAGATATGTTATTTTTTTGTTAGAATCACAAAAACATCTTTCGATTTTGTTTTCTCCATTCGCTTCCAACAAAATACAAATATTAGGATAATAAATATTATGCAAATTTTATACCAAGCATGAATACATTTAAAACAGAGAACAATTTATCAATTAAAGTTAGTTGTTGCCACACTTAATAGATGCAGTTTGCATTCTGTCTATTGCGAATACTAGACAGGTGAATGATATAATTTGTATTGAGGAACTTCACAAAGACTTACGTACATTACGAAAATGGCCTATTCCCTGCCACGCAATACAGTACAGACGGGACTACACGAATAGCACAACTTGTCTCGACCAAGCCACAAAACGGCTTTTTATCAAATTTCACCAATTTATCTTCAAGTTTTAAAACAATTCATGTTATATCCATATTCATGTCGTTATAATGATTTTGTTTATCACTAAAATCAAAAGAAATCTGACTAAAAACACTATAAAACTGTTTATATATTCCTCGTGGTGCGAGTCCCCCTTGCGTGTTAAGATCATCAAATTACACCACGAGGAATATACTCCTGATTGATTGATTGATTTTTATTCGCCATGCTTCCAACATACAACAATATACAAGAATAACAGGATAGCCCACGAAAGCTCGAGAGCTTATTTTCAGTGGGGTCTCCGACAGTCATGTACAAAATTCATGAGTTAAAGTAGTAATTTACATACAGAGAAGCAAAAAAACTTATTAAAGATAATAATGATGATGATAATAATAACAACATTAAACTGATGATAGAAATGATAATAAGTACAAGAACAAAAAGAAGAAGGAGAAGATGAAAAAGAGGAGGGAGAGGAGGAGGAGGAAGAGGAGGAGGAGGAGGAGGAGGAAGAGGAAAATAATGATGAATTATTATGTAGAATTTCTATAACGTACTAAAACATAAGTATATGCAAAATTAAAAAGTATGAACCGGCAGGAAAATAATCTGTATTCAGGCTATTTCAATCATATAACATGTCATTTGCTTCTCTCCTCTGACACTCAAGTGTTAGGTATTCCTTTAATTTCCTCTTAAAATGAGCAAAGTTTTCTATTTCCTTTATATCATTAGGAAGGGAATTCCAATGTGTTATGGCAAAGTAATAAAATGAATTTCCAGTACTACTTACTCTTTCTGGTAAGTTGAAGTTGAATCAGCTATTTCTTGTATTATAATCATGTAAGTCAGTAACAAGATCGAAGTTGGATCGAATATAATGATTCGACCTAGTATGATAATATTGTATGCACGTGAGGCAATACGAGTTGTTTTGATCTTTGGTTGACTTTAAAAAAAAACAGCTTTAGAAAGTTCGCTGTAGCCAACAGTTCTAATTAGACCAGAACAGTTGATGAATCTCACCATTTTGTTCTGTATAATTTTCAACTTCTTTTGATCTGACTTG